TTGATCATTGGAACAGAACTGAAAGTCATTTGTTTGTCGTAACAAGTAGTGACGCAAGTTGTAAAACGAGTTGTACCGCGAGTTGCAACACACGTTGTAACAAGTTGTGGATGTTCAGCCCAGTTTTACATCAAGTCTTGAAAGTGCAATGGATGAGGATGATGACGGCCCTCGTCGTCCACCACAGGCACACGCAACACCAAGAAATACCAAGAAGGGTCCAAACATTTTGTTTTTCACGGTCTTGCATGGCAAAAGTCTAGTTTTCGGCTGCATAAGTGAGCAAATTTGGTGTGACCAGGAAGAACCTATGCGACGTACGGGGTCAACGCAGCAGGAGGAATGGGGATTGTGTTGTGAAGGTCGAGGGGCCTTTTGGAGAGAAGAATTCAAAAATTCGCGACTTTGAAAACAGTGATACAACGAGATACCTTGCGACTTTGAGAACACTTTCCGCGGTTTCCTTCACCTTGCATCGAGCGACTGACATCAGATTAAGCAACCTTGCTTATAATGGAAGGTATGTTAACGGTATGTTCGTTGTGGGTAATTAGACCTTGCCTGTGAGTCATCAGTTGACGCTGGTTGTCTACATTCAGAAATTGTATCCCAACGACGTGTAGAGTCTAGAGATCCTTTGAATGAAGAACATGGGATCTGGTACTTGGCATAGGGCTGAAACAAAATGGCAGAAACCAAAGACGACAAACGCGTAGCAGGACAACTGTGTCTTTATTTCACTAAGCTTGAGTTCGAACTCATTTTAGATTATTCACATTTCTGCAAACATCACAAAGAGTACATCAATACATCTTAGGTCCTTCCACTTCTGAATTCATTGTCACAATTTTGGACATTGTATCCTTCGTGTTTGTGTTCTCCTTTGTAAGGGGGTGGCACTTTTGGGATGTTTGATTCTCAAAGTGATTCGAAGATTGGAAGCGATTGGAAGCGATTGGAGGTTCTCCGAATTTTCTGTTTGCAAGTCGCTGGATCCAGGAAGCGCCACGTGAGACAGCACCTCGAGAGGCAAATTGGGAGCCAGATTCGAGATTCGATAAACATGATTGATAGCGTTCAAGCGTTTCTTTTTTTTGGGGGGGCACGATATGCACATGATATTCAAACTATGTCAAACTGGGTTTCAATGTCGCGACTCATTTTTGATTGAGGAGCAACATGGAGCGACCATGTTCGACTAATCATTCCAAATTCCATTTATTGTTTACAGAACCTGAGCTGTTCCGGCATCTTCCGACATCACATTTCTTTCCAACAACCCCTTCGAAGCTTTCGAGAAAACCAATCAGGGACTGGCCACCGCCATTGTGTCAACGTGTACCTCTTTCGATCTGCAATATGTGTCAAATCAGCATATCATAATAGCACATGTGTGTTTGAGAAGCATGTGAGCCATGTGAGCATTGTTGTATGACATATCTTGAAGCGCTCTCCAAGTCATGAGCGCCAAAAGCGAGCAACTTTGCTTCTGGCTTTCCGGCATTCCCTTCGCTGCTATGGCTCTAGCCAGCAGTGTCACCGGGCCGCTTAGTTCCGCTTGCTGCTCAGCATCGCTTAGCAAGCCTCCACCGGCTGTCCCCGTCACATCCTGTGGCATCCAGCTCTCAAAAGCTCAAGGTGCTCAAGGTCCCAGATGCAGAAAATTGCAGAGATGCGTGCGTGACTCATGTCTCCGATTGTCTCCGGTAATTCTCACGTATCACCTGTCACATTGCTCCTGTGTAGTCAGGTACATCTAGGACAGTATCTTGATATCTTTCTACACATCCTCAACTTTGCTCTTTTTGAAGGTTTCTATAGGAATTTGCGGGTGAACATGGCACGATTCACATGCGCTGCTTTCTGAAATCTGTCGAAGCCAATGGCAAGTGCCATGCATTGCCACGGATAAAACGTATCAAAACATATCAAAACTAAAATTCATGAAGCATTTCCATGCATTTCCTATATGAACACGTATAATTATTTATGTATAATATATAGATAGTTATGTATATTTTCTCGGGGGCTTTGGGTGTGCAGGGGCGCCACGCATGGCCATCGTGGTGCAGCTGCCAGAAGGCGAAGTCCGCTTCGTGGCGGTAGACCCGGAGCTGCTTAGCATCGCACAGCTGTCGCAGCTGTCGCAGCTCCAGCTGCGTCGTAATGCGACAGCTGCAATGACACTGCAATAGCAACACATAGCAACACCTAGCAACGCTGAATACAGAAGTTTTTCAAGTCTCGTACAAAAAGGCGTTTTTGCCAATATTTTTTTGAGGCGCAGAAACTGCAGCTATGTAGATTTCGCCATGTCCTATGGATTCCTATTGTCCTATTGGCTTCGAAAAAGCACGACATGTTTTGAGGACTGCTCGCTATGTGTCTCCCGAGAGATGGCCATCCCATGCCATGCCCTCCAAGGTTTTTTGCATGTCCTCTTGGGGAAGTTGCTGGTCGAGTCAGACACACCCTCCATGCCAGTGCCATCAGGTGCGAGAAAGGCTGCAATATCTGCAATGCTGCCAGGCGTTTGGATTTTGTGTTTGCTGAGTTGATTTTGGGTGACATTTTGGATTTTGCTCAGGTGCTCTTCTGATCCAGCAGCTTTTCTGCAGCGAGTGAGCATCCGTAATCCGGGTAGACTTACGCTACGACATCGTTGCTATCGCTCGCCATTTTCAGACCCTGTGACCTCCTGTTGTCCAAGCAGCACAAACACTCTGCAGGACTAAAGAATGCTGTGCAATCCAAGGGGCTGAAATCTTCTAAACACATTTATCACCATTCAAAATTGACATGGCTGGATTCGGGGAAATCACGTGAGCTGCGACAGCAAGTTCCCCTGGAGAGATGAGCCGCTTACACCTAGTTGGAACTGGAGCGAAACCCTTTTCTTTCCAATACACAACAGCCCAAAAATGGTGTGCTCACCAATGATAAGTCTGAATTCCCTGCAAACAGGGGGTGGCCGCAACAGCTGTCCTCTACATGAAAGAATGTGTTGAAACTTGAAACATTTTTAAAGGCCATGATTCTCCTACTCGTTCAACGCTGATGCTTTTCAGGCAAGTTCTTTATGTTTTTTCTTGGACTTTGCAGTTTGCGTGGGCGCCGCCATTTCTGGTGTTCGCTGCTTTATTTCTTGAAGTACTTTTTGCCCCTACTTTCATGGTAAAAGGGAAGTTGGGTTTGGTCTGATGGAACGCACGGGCAAACGCTTCAAATTGAAAGAACGTAACGTTCAAAACAATGAGTGAACAGATTCAGTGTTATGCATTTGCGTGTGCCATGTCTTGTTTTTTCCCCCTCTCATCACGCTATCAATGTAGAACGGTACATGGGCCAGGTGCCGCAAACAGCATTACAGGAGCAAACACCAGGTTGAACCACTAACCGAGCAAAAGGAAGCAAACCCATGTGAACAACTAACAGAATTGCAAAGACCTGGGGGAAAAACAAGTTCCTAGGGTTGAGAATCATTTTGGAACAAGAGGATGCCCTAGTAGCTCTCAGAAACCTGGGCACCCCGTGAACCCTGTACACAAGCGCGGACTGTATTCAATAGCAGGAGCGGCATCTGGCACTTCTTGGCAGAAGCCAATTTTGCATTTGGGTGATTGTTTGACGATCCTTGTGAGTTTCAAAGCTCATGCTCCAAATAAGCATTGTGTGAGCGCGAGCCGCAGCCATGGAGATCGTTGTTGGAAGATGTTTCAAGATGTCTTTTTTAGGCCGTCTCATTTGATTTTACCAGTGGATACCAAGGTTGAGAAACATGAAACGGAGATGGAGATGATGGAGGAGCTCTCTTCTGCTTTTCAGGATTTTCACCTCACTGAGGAGGACGATGTCGAAGATGTGGAAGATGTCGATTCCGTCGATTACCGGGTACTTTTTCAAGGCCGAGATCTCGAGCTGGAGCCACTTTGGCGTAGTCGGGGTCGAGTCGGCTCGAGTCGGCTCGAGTCGGGTCGAGTCGGGTCGACCGAACATCAGGATCCAAGATGATCCCAGTTGTTTAAAGATATTTGGAATTGATAAATGAATTCCAAGAATTGATTATTTGGAGCATTTCGGTGTCAATTCCGCATGTTGCATGCCACAGGCAGTTCTGCAAGAAGACTTTAGTAGAGTAAAACTGGACATGAAACCGATCAGAGAGTTCAGACATGCACAACATGCACTAGTGTCACCCACAAAGGCTGAATGTTCGGACCATTACCGTGGATGATCAGACGTCAGGTCCCGATGATATCTGATGATCCTTACAGATATGCGGTGCCACATTGTGTTACAGATTTCGCATATTTTCGCATGGTGTCATCCGTGTGGTGAGACCGAGGAAGGCTTCCAGGGAATTTCTTTCTACGATGGAAGCGGGCAAACTTTGCACTGTACGTGTGGTTTTCCGACTGCTGGGCGGTTGCTTGGCGGATCTATGGCCTGCATATGGCCTGCTATGCAACAAGCTGATGCAGTGAAGATAAATCGAATCCACATATGAACACCACATGCTACACATTGCATCAACTTGTGCGTTGCTTTGTGCGTTGCAAGTGCGAGATCAAACGAGGCAAAGGAGGTTTTGGTTCATTGCTTCGATCGCAAAAAGGAGGCCCTGCACTGTGCAAAGTAGTGACAAGTAGTGGTTCACGTTGTGAAACGTTGTGACGTTGTAACGTTGTCCAGCAAGGGAGACATTCCTGCGGAAGTCTTGCAACATGAGAAGAAAAGCTCAAAGTTGCAGTCTCAACATGTTTTACAGATTGGCAACGAAGTATTGGCATTCAGTTATCAATCTGTTTTGCAAATTACAAATTGGTTTGCGGAAACACCAATTCGTCTACATTTCTATTGTGTCAATCTAAAGATTCGGCGTTTCCGAATTTACAGATTTCGGTGCTGTGTTCGAATCTGTTTTCGGTGCTTTTCGTGCTTTTCTTTTATTTGAGGTCCCGAAGTCTTGAATTTACAGATTTGGTGACTTTTCCCGTTGTTTACAGATTTTGGTGAGTCTTCAGCGGTTCGGTGTTCGGTGTTCGGTTCGGTGTTCGTTTCTCGGTGTAGGCAAAAAGACGACGAACTTCGACGCCATGCGGGACCTCAACGGCCGTCGGGTCCGCCACGTGAAAGCAGCGCCTTGGCGCCGAGAGCTGCTCAGCTGTGCTGTGAAAAACAAAACTTATGACATAATAATTAAAACTTATGACATAATAATTAAAATCAATTAATCAATAATATTTAACTTATTTTAATTGATTTTAAATATTGATTTAACTATAAAGTATTTAAAGTTTATCACGTACAGCTTCACGGTCTCAGCAGGCACAGCAGCAGCAGTGCCGTACTGTCCAGCAATCTGAACCTGGATTGGCCGGGCCACGTCGGCAGTGCGACGAATGGCCCTGGAACAGGTGAAATCTCCAAGCAAAGCCTGGCAACATGCAATGTCTCCGCAAGAGAGGCGAATATAGATTCCCCCAACAGGCTTGTACACTCTGAGATCCACTTTGCTCAATTTCGAAAACAACACACTAGAATCATCCAAACAAAACCCCACAAACCAAACCAAAGCCCGACGAATGTATCGCATGACATAAGCCAAAGTGGGTCTCTCAAATCGGGAATCCAAAGTGCAAAGTTCGGTCAAACCACTGCCTGCATTCTGAAAAGGAAACATGAAACGGAAATCCCTAACCAACCAAATAGTCAACTCCTCAAAACTCAGTGGATAGACCCCAGAGGCCTCGTCCACATGACTGGCAAGGTGGTCAACCAAAGCAAAAATAAAATCAGCCGGCAAGTCCACAGGCCGGCTATCGGAGCTGCCAATCAAATCCCTGGCATCAAGATTGTACAAATCGCCAAAAGAAGGCTGCAACTCATCAACAAAACCAAACAGTGAAACGTCATGGCTCTCAGATGGCTCAGTTAGAACTTCAGGCCCGTTGGCCGCAACTTTGAAAAAGAACGCCTGCAGCTGCCGCATGCGTGCTGCGCTCTGCTCAAAGTGAAAGTTCATGTCATCACGAAGACGGAGGAACTCCCTTGGACGGCAGAAATTGTACTGCCCAATGGCAAAATCAATTCTATCATTCCAGCATCTAACCCAGTCTTCAAATGGATCCTGCAACTTCGTCTCGTCCAAATGACTGGGAACCCAATGTGGCTCAAGTTCAAGCTGTCCAAGTTGTTGCAGCAGCAGATGGATATTCTCCCAAATGTCCTGGTTGGACCAATCTCCTATCTCCCCAGACCGGAGAATATGAGAGATACCATCGGCCACATATCTTGAATCAGTCCACAGGTGCATGCTGACCTCGAAGTGAATCTGCCATTGAATGGCGCTCCAAGCCGCCATCAATTCTGCCCGGTCGCTCGATTGGTTGAGCCCCGGCACGTGTCCCATCGCAACTACCTCTCCAGTAGTCGCATTCAGGCACCCCCATGCCGCTAGCTTAGCCGGCTGGGTAGCCGCAGTGGCAGTACCATCAGTGAAGATGTGCTGAACCCCATTTGATGGTTGGGAGGTAAAACAACTCGTAGTATCTGAAAGGAGAAGCAATGCCCACTTCCAAGCAGCCACAAATGGTGACCTTGATGGCAGCAAGTGTGAACAAAGTGCTTGTGAATCACATGGGTGCTGATCCTGCCAACCTGCAATATCTGCACGTATATTGGCAAATCTGGGACATCCCAACCAATGTTGGTTGGTGTCTGGTACTCCGCAGAGAGCACAGGTCCCCTGCTTGGTCAAATCACATCAGTGCCTGCTCGAGGCTAGTCAGATTTTTTGAAACAAAGCTCAAAAGATGCGGGTCCAGCCCCTGCAAGTCACGCATCGTCTTCCGAGAAGCCACTTGGCAAGCAACATGCTGGAGCCAAGCATCCCAAAGTGTTGTGATCAGCAGTGAAGCATCCACAGTCATCAAGTTGAGTTGACATTGGTCATGGTCAATCAAATAAGGGGGTTCAACCTCCATCCAATCTGCCCTAAAACCACCAAAAGTTGCGAAAAGGGGCCACTAAAAAGAAAACCATCGAAATTCCACATGAAACTTTTCCATTCATTCAACAGCCTGGGTTCTTTGCGCAGCAGCCGAGCAAAAGAGCTAACAGTGTGCTGCAAACGCCACCAGCTAGGGTCTGCAGTGGGAGTCGAGGACAAAGTTAAACGAAGAAGGCCGTTGACCCCCGCATGTGAAAGTCGCAAGGCCTTCAAAGCTTGGGACCGCAACTTGTCCAAGTGATTTTCACCCATGCATGATCCAGTGATGCCATGTAATGCAGCTGACCAGAAAACCATGGGCACGGCAGCTAACTTCTGTCGCATTGGCGCACGACTGGTTTTCAAACGTTGCCATTTGCCATGTAGTTTGCTGATCCTCTTCTGCTGGAGTCCAGTGAATCGCTTTCGAGTGAACGAAAGCGCACCTCCCAGCTCCATTGCACTTTCCACCTTTTGAAAAGGAAGGATGGCCAGTTGTTTACGCTGTCCAGAACTCAAAGCCCAGCAGTAGGATTTGCTGACATCAATAGCCATATTCCATAGCCGAAAGAACTCAATGACACATGCCAACCCAGTTGCAAGAAGTCCTGGTACCGAAGCCAGAAGGCTCAGGTTGTCTACGAAACTCAGCGCTCTAATTGACGGGCTGTACGCCCTCATATAGAGGTGCCACGCAAAAGACAACTGAACCATTCCAAAGACGCTCATCGCGTCTCCCTCTGGCAAACCGCAAGAGGAGGTCGTGCAAGAGCTCAAGTGCCCTCTGACATCGAAAGCTCGTGTACATTGATCCAGGAACAATCGCCATGGAACAGTGATACGTGCTGGAACTCCCAAATGCTCCGCCAAAGAGAAAGAATGCTGGCGTGGTATAAAATTAAAGGCTTGAGTCAAATCTGTGCTGAGGCCGCACAAATCACCGTGGACTTGAAGTGTCCGTTCAATCTCTGCCTGCAAAACCAACCAGAGCTGCGATGGTTCGCACCCCGGCATGAAGCCAAACGCCTCCACATCCATCTTCGGCGTCAGCCAACGAAGCAACTGTTTTGAACGGACCCGAGCCCAAGTGCGATAGATCACACTGAAAATGACCACCGGCCTAAATCTGTCAACCGTAGCAGCGCCTGCGTTCTTCGCCAGGACATTGACGACCCCATACAAAATTGCCGTGGGCCAATTGGTGCGCCCAAGCTCAATGTCATGAAGCATGGCGAGCAGTCTTTCGGTCCAAGCCAGCGGCAGTGAAAGAAGATCTCGATGGGAGATCCCATCAACGCCTCGAGCGGCACTAGGCTTGTATCGCTTCAAGGCTCGATACCACTGTTCAGGCAGTATGGGTCCGAGATCCATCTGAAACTTCGGCACATAAGCTTGAAAAAAGCTCGTGACACGCTGCCATGTGTGAGCATCCACAGTTGACATCGCTTGCCACGTAGGGGTCCAGTACTCCAGCAACTCGGCATGAAGTGAGTTGGTGTCTGCTAGAGTGCAAAATTGCTCCACTAGATCGCCTTGTTCAAACAAAGAAGCATCAGGCACTTGAATCACCACATCATTGATGATGTCAGGCTGAAACGTAACATCTCCAGCCATCCACTTGGAGAACCCTTTGGAGACCACCGGTGCATCCAAGTGAAGTTGACCACTATCAATGTCAACAGCCAAAACAGAAAAGGAGGTCTTCTGATGAAGCAAGTCCAATCTGTCTCTGTTTGGTGGCTTCAGGTCTTGGAAAATGCCTTGCATGCCCTTCTCGTATTTTGTGAGCAGTAATTTGCCTCTTTGTCGCAGGTGCCAAGCTTCGTATTTCTCAAAGTTGAGCTTAAAGTCTGCAAAAACAGCCTCAGCAACTTCAAGTCCAGGAGGTGAACGTGGAAAGCAAGATGGTGCATCAGGCAGGGCATAAGCCCGATGATTGCGCCACCAGACAGAGAAGCCCTGTTTGAATCCAGGAGAACGTAAAACAGCCGCCCAAAGTTCCGGTCGATAGGCAAGTGCGGCTGGAGTCTGTTTGCCAGCCCTCACTGCCGCTACATAGCTTTGCAGCCGTCGTAGTTGGCGAAACCAATGGCGGACTTCACTGCCAATGAGGTCATTTCGAAGAACAACTTCACTTGGTCGGCTGGGTTTGAGCACTAGTGCTGAAGTTCTCCGCCGTATCGGCTGGGTTTGCTGGAGCCTGCCCTTCTGATGGCCCTGAAGCCCATGGCCCGGAGCATTTGGAAGATGCCCTTGAAGACTATCCTCAAAAGAAGTTGCCCATTCGGCCCATTGTTGGTTTACATCTGCATGTAAAGTCCAATCAGGAGGCACCGCAGTTGAAGTCCATTGGGCGTCAACTTCCGTCCAAGGAATCACCGAGGGCTTGGGCCATGACAACATTCTGGGATTTGATGTGGGGATGCACAAACCCACAGTGATAGTGGAGTGTTCCGCAAAGACATCAGCCACATCAACCATCTGACATAATGCCGCCGCTTCAGGTGAAAGCCAAACAAGGTCACGTTCAGTGGCATGTTTACACGTGAACTGTGGCTCTTGACCCCAAAGACGTTCAGCAAGCTCTTGTGCTGAGATCCAGCCAAGCTGACGCCAGTAATTGAAAAGAGGAATCCCCCAAGCATCAGTGTTGAAGTCGCCCCCAATCAGTCGAGGCCCAGTCCCGCCCAAAATGATCTCGGTGGTTGTGATCTGGAGGAGCTCTTCTGTGAGCCGCAAGGCATTAGGCCAGGTAGGACCTTTGGGAAATCCATATATGACCATGTTGGTGATGGCCGTCTGGCCAATCATGTGCCTTGTGGTGAGCATCCGACCGCAGTCACGTTCATTGATGTAGGGCAGTGACAACTCCTGGGACGGAAAGTCTGAGATTGTTGCAACTCCAGACCAAGTTCCAGCCCATGTAGAGGTTGTTCGGGTCGCTACTGGGGCGCCCATATGGACTCGAAGGAGTCGATTCTGGTTCCTGGCTTGTTGTCGAAGAAGAGCAGCGCAAGTCTTCTGAGTCTGCAATGACAGCTGGGATTCTAAAAATGACCAGACTCCTGCCCCCAGTGCAATAGCCGTGGCTTCTTTCTGACGAAGCCCTGATGGGTTGGAAAATCCAAAAAGATGGCAGTCCGATGAGGGACCAGGATGAAGAGCTTCTCCCCAGCGAAACACTGGCTGAAGAGGGTCACCCCCAAAATCCAAAGGGTCGAGGTGTGAATGGCCCAGTTTGGCAAAGTCCAAGTCAGAGACAACACAGGCAGCAGCCGTGCAAAGATGCGAAAAGACAAAGAAAATCCAATAGAGAAGGCGGATGCGAGAAAGTGAAAGTCCAAATCCAAAGAGTCCTGGCGCCCTAAATCCAAAGGGCCCAGGTGGACCTAGTCAATCATTGCGCTGACGTTTGCTCAGCAGTGCTTCCAGTCGATCCATCTGGGAGGTAACTGCCGAGGTGACCTCTGCCGTGATGTCACCCTTGATGTTGCCCAAGGAGAGTTGCATTGCTTGGTGCAACGAGTCAGCGGAAGTATGAACTTCCGTGCGCACTGTCTGAAGGTCCGTTTGGTTTTGTTGAACTGCTGCATGTAGATGTGTCAGCTGCTCATCCTGCTTTGCCAATCGAGTGCCCGTCTCCTGGAACCAATTGTGGAACTGAGATTGATGCGCCTTCATCTCAACAATGTCAGATTCCAGTCGACAAAGACGCTGGGCATCCTGAGATGATTGGTCCTGAGAATGCTTTTCTGCCCATTGTTTCTGCAGAGTTTCATGAAGGTCAGTTTTCAACTGGTCAGCCAGTTTCTCATAGCGCTTGGCAGGAGCTGGTGTTGGATGACCCGTGCCATGCCAGTTGCCCCAAGGATCTTGTCCAGGAGATTCCCATGGGTCAGTCATTGGAGGTGCCGTACTCGCGGAAGAGGATGCCTGGGATCTCAGATGGCGTTGAGCTCGTTGGGGACCCACCACCGTTGGAAGCTTTTCCACTTCCGTACGGTCTTTGATGAGAGAGATCAAGACATCTCTCTGGAAGGCTGGCATGATGTTGTTAGGCGGCTCAATGGCTGCACCAACTTCCCAGGAGCTGCCCTCCGCCGATCCACGGGCTGGCTGCAGCGGCTTGGCTTGCCACTTCCATTCACGCAGCAATTGGGAGACTTGAAGTCGTTGAAGTCCATGGGGAAGAGGATGAAGCCGGTAGATCTTAGTGACTGCTACCTTCATAAACTCTTCATTGGGACGAAGCTCTCTGAAAGCTGCTTCTTCGTAGGTTGAAAGCACACGAATTCCAAATCTGTGCTTCAGCCGTACCAGTGAAAGTCCATGACTGGTGAGCTTGAGTCGGTGACAAGCAGTGTCACGGTTTGCCCCAGGTAGCCAAATCACTGAGTAGTCCTCATCGGTGGCACGTGCACCAGAAGCGCGCGGCTCCATGTAGACACCTTCAATAGAAACTTTCAGCAGATCTTCCAAGGCAGGAGTAGCCACCCGCAGAAAAACCAAAAATTGTTCTGCTGATTGGGCTGGTAATGACTTACCTTCCAAGGATTGAAACCTGCGACCCCATAGGTCCAGCACCACTTGGTCGATGCTGTCTTCAACAGCTGCATGAAAATGTCCACATCTATGATTGCAAGTGACCGAGGTGCAAAGCTTGAAGAGAGGAACCAACCGGAACAGTTGCCGAATGGGGAAGCTTGCCACATCCTCCCAGCTTGTGCCCAGCTCGTCTCTGAAAAGCTGTATCTTCAGCACATTCGTTGCTGCCAGATCCATGCTGGTGGCTGGATCTTGAACTTGTTGACGAGAAATTTCATGATCGCCAAGTTGGAGAAGACAACCATTGATCAGCAATGGATCCTGTGTTGGCAAGTATGTCGCCGGAAATCTAATAGAGATCACATTGGCCTGGGCCTTCAAATTGCTGGGAACCTCTTCAGTGATAAGGAGGCCCAAAGCATCTGTGGAGATGTTCTCCTTCTCCCTGAGGTAAGGCAAGGCTTCCGTGAGAGTGGCAATGGCAAGGCCTCTGGAGTCAGCAGTGACTTGGTTGAGAGGAATTTGCTCCACGTGGTCACCCTCATCATCGATGAAATGAGCTGGATCAAGTTGCAAGGTTGATGGGTCAGGTGCCAAAGGCGGTGATGTGTTGGATTTGCCCGGCTTCTTGTCACGCTTTTTCTGAGTGGAGATCTGGGCCCCATGCTTGGTCGCAGCTTTGGCATCGATGAAGTCCATGAGCTCAGATTTGAGAACGTACTGAAAGTTGTTGCCTGGTTTCGTAGTCAACGCTTTGAGAGCTTGCCAAGGATTCCCATGAGCCAAAGCTCCTTGGATGGCCGGAGCACTCAACTTCTGTATGGCGGCAGCAGCTCTGTCTGCGGCAACGGCCGATGGAACTCCCTTGGTGGCTAGCAGAGCAGCTAGTTGAGCTTGAACATCCACCGTCAGAGGCCCTGATCCATAAATCCAAGGATCAGTGAAGTTCAGGCCCAATGCAGGTCGGCGTAGAAGCCAGGAGTGAAAGTCCAAGACCGTGGCTCGAGAAGGAAGTCCAAAAAGTCCAAGACGGGCACCGACATGAAGTAAAGCAACTGTGCCACAAGTGTGATCATCTTGTTGGAAGAAAAGATGGCCTGGGTCGATGGACCAGTTCAGGGAGAGCTCTTCAGAGATCCGTGCTGCCAATCTCATTGCCGCAGTGTTGACTCTTCCAGGAAGACCATCGCAGTAAAGCCATTGAATGGAGTCGACATGATGCTGACCCCAAAGAAGAGCCCAGTGCGATTGAGCCGGAAAGACACAGATGATCCTGTCATCCGACTTCGAAAAAGCAGCTCCTAAGTTGCAGTCGACATAGGAGTCCGCAAGAAGAAGCAAAGCCTCTCTGGGTTTGATGATCATGGGCTTGAGATGACTGTTGAAAGTGCCAAGCATGACTTGCAAGACCCAAGTAATGTGTCCATCATGGAGTCCTTGTGAGACATCGTGGCCTGCAGCTTGGAGTGATCGTGTCGGCGGCCAATTTGGCAAAGTCGTCAAGTTCATGGGTTTCCAGACTCGAAAGTCAGCACCATAGACTCTGCCATCACGATCCACCAAGAAGTTGACAAGCTGGATGTCCATGTCACGCAAAGCTTCAAACAGGAATTGGCCAGCATTCAACAGGACCATCTCAAAGACACCTTGATGAGTGATGCCCACCGCAAAGACTGAGGAGGGTCTTGGACGATGTTGATCACCAGTTTGAAGATCAAATCTATAGGGTTGACTCATCTGTTTGAGCAGCATGCGCAACGACAGTGGCTGTCCATCCATGGAAATGCCACCAGCCTCGTTCCACCCCAGGCAAATCCTCTGAGCATCGAGCAACTGGGCAACGGTGCAGGCAACTGGACAATGAATGGCCAAGGCTGACCCATCTGAGTCATGAAGTTGAAGCACCTGAGGAAGCTGCTCTGCCTGATGAAAGAGGTCTTGGGTTTGACGAAGCAGCTCACGTTGATATGCCCTCAGCCATTCCAGAGGAGATGATGCAGGAGCAAGATCTCGAGCCTGGGCTACATTGTTCCGAAGATGGGCGTAAATCCAGACCATTTGGAGTGGCGAAGCCACCAGTCCCAGTAAGGCCAGGTGCTCACGTGGCCGAAAAGGATACTGCACAGAGTTGGGAAGACCGAGCAAAAGTCCAAGCTCTCGAGGATGGAGATAACGTGGATTGTGATGGACTCTAGACTGGACAAAGCAGCCACGTAGGCCTTTGCGTTCCAGGGATTGGCGACTGAACCCTGACTGCCGGCAGTTGCAAGGACACGACATGAGGGCGTTTCCGTATGAATGGAGAAACGTGTTCGCCACATCAGAAAAGTCCAACAGCCTTTTGTCACTTCCAAACTCAGGATTGGAATAGGCCAAGAACTCATATTCAAACAGCTGCAATTCTGTCTCCTCTTCATCCGTCCAGTGACCCCAGCATTTGAAAATGTCACCCACAACATTGTATGGACTGGTGGTTGGCCAAGGATGCAACCCATACGAGTTCCATTCTTTGGGTAAAAGAAGCGCCCACCACCTCTGACGCCGACATGGCCATTGCGCCTGAAGATCCAAAGTCAAGGTGAGCACCACCCAATCCATCGCCAGTGCAAGAGCTTGGATGCCCTCTTGAATCTCCATGTTGCACCCAACCGCAGCCACACACTCTAGTATGGCGGATTGAGGATGCATCATGAAAATGATTTGAAGGCCCTTCCAAAACGTGCAAAACCTGAAATCACTACTTCCTCTTTGCAACCCTTGGCTGGAAAAGGGTTGACATGGAAAACCAAAGGCAACGGTCCCTGGGGACCCTCCGAACTCTTGATGGATGATCTTCGCACATTCAACATCCATAAGATCCATCTGCAACACTTGACCATGTCCATTGGCATTCAAATGGTTACATGCCAAACCATTAAAATCCACAGACATCTTTGGAATACCGCCTAAAAAAGAGGCTCCAATCCCCATGCCACCCATTCCGGCGCATAATTCCAGCAGCAAAGGAGAAAGATCACGTGATGATTCATCAAGACTGCACCACCACGAGGACTCAAGAGCCTTGAGGTAAATGAAGTCATCCTGGCCAACCTTCTGGTAGCCGTAAATGGACACCATGCCCACAGGGAGCAACTGATCCAGAATCAAAACAGGCGTACAACATGGGACCCTTTGTCCGATTGACGTGCCGTCTGCATGAGAAGTGATGTGCAGCTTCCCAACAAAGAGGAAATCATCATGAGATGAACCAAAGATATGGGGAGCCATGGGAACACGAAACGAGGACCCGAGCGTTGGTAGAACCGGGTTAACCACTGAGAGGCCTCGGGCCGAAACCTAAAAGGTATTTAAAGTTTAATTAAATAAATTAATGTTAAAGAAAAGTAAAAGAAATTTATTGTTTTTAAAATTAAAAGAAAATGCTTAAAACGTAGTAATTAAACTCAAGTAAAGATGGTTAAAATTTAGTAGCCATGTTAAAGTGTTTTAGAAGTAGCTAGAAGTTGTTTTTGAAACCAAAAGGAACAGGATAAACTCGAATAACAAGTTTAACAAGTTTAACAAGTTAGTAATTTTGCTTTAAGTTCAACTTCTCTTTGATCACTTCTGCAACTTAAACTTAGTCAACGGTTACTTCTAGTCGAATGTCTAATGTCTTATAGTTGGCTTCACTTGACTGTCTTGAAAAGTCCATGGAAAGTCCATGGCCTGCATTGCGAGGTGGAGCGCATCAAAGAATGGCTCGAGAAGAAGAAGCGCGAGGACGAACTCGTGAACCTCTTGACCGGTGAAGGTCCTGAGCTCCCCAAACCCACCTCCGAAGCAGCGCCTTGACGACTTGACGACTTGACGACTTGACGACTTGACGACTTGACGACTTGACGGACGAGCGGAGATGAAGAGAGAGCGAGTGTATACACAGTTTATGCACAGTTTATGCAGACCTTCAAAAAAGGAGAAAACTCGATGCACACTCTTAAGACCTTCTAAATGAACCATGCACAATGTTTCTACTTTTGGAGTGCAATATTTTGACTTTTGATTTCCATTCATGTTTCATTGATTAACTATTTTTATTGCAATCTATTGCATATTTGTATTGGTATGCAGTGACACCTGCTGAGTTATTGTAGCCCATAGCTTCACATAGCTTCACATAGCTGTCCCTGCTCTCCAGTGTTGGAATCGTGGAACCCTTTGCCAAGGATAGCGTGGACCCTGAGTACTTGCGCAAACTCAAGCGATCATCAGCATCGAGACCCGCTTTGGTGAGCCAAGGACCTTCAAACTGAGCAGCTCACAGCATACCTTCGTACAGCTTTCGTACAGTTTCCCCTTTCGTATAGTTTTCATATGGCTTTGTCTTTTATCGAAGGAAGTTTGGAAGCCAAACTTCCGACTTATGGACAGATGCAGCATGATGCAGCAACAGTTGAGGGAAGAGTCGCAGAAGAGAGAGCAAGAAGAAAGAAGATCAAAGTGCGCGCAAAAGTAGAAAAGTCGCAAAACACAGTGTGTGTTTTCCAATGTTTTGTGGCTCCGGAAGGACAAAAAGTAGGCTTGCCAAAGCGGCAGGCGTGGAGATTCCTGAAAAGGATATGCCTGAAAAGCGTGAAAAGGCATGAGCCGAAAAGTTTAAGTCCTGAAAAAGGATATTTGAAGAAATAAGACATAACAATTGAAAGTAAGTCCTGAAAAGTCCAGGCCGTTTGAACGAAACGCCTGCTAAGACATAATGAAAAGGATGCATTTGAAAAAATAAGAAACACATAATTCGATTTATAGAAAACTAAGCCCTGAAAAGTCCAGGTCCTAAACATGAAATGCCTGCAAGGATTGTAAAAACATCAAATGCATTTTAAGTGAAAATATGTGGATGGTCATCTCCCCTCTCCAACCGCTCACAACTGCTCTCCAAACTCCGGCTGTTTGACAGCCTTGCCACATCCAGCCGCTGGTCTCTAGGCATCCCCGCGCCCCTTCAACACCTCCGGCAGAGTGTCCACCATGTCACTCTCATGTGGACCTTGCGCGCCCGGTTCCAGTTTAGCATGTTTAGCTGGCACCGGGTTGATTGCCTTCATTTGCCTCCAAGTTATCCGGCATTATCCGGCATTGTCGGCGTGTCAAACTGTGGGTTCGGGTCTGCACCCTTTGGGACGCTCTCCTTCTCCAAAGCATATTGCAATGGGTTGGGCATGTCTTGCGAAAGCCTTACAATTGTCATCAATTGTCCTATCCGGAACACATTGCTGGATCTGCGTCATGGGGAAGTCCTTCATCGCGGCCTTCGACGACAACGGCCCCAACAATTCAGGGCACCACGCTCTTCTCCGTTGGCTCCGTGCCCGTGGCATTGGTGTTGATGTCGCCTATGATCGAGCTCGCTGGCTTACATTGCAAGATGACTGGCTCGCTTCCCACTCTGTGCAAGCCATGCCTCGCGGCTTGAACGTTCACAAAGTCTTTGCTGATCACGGTCTCCCGGAATATCGTGCCATTCAAGGAGCTTTCACTGGCCAGCAACTATTGGCGGGTTTGTGGGGTTCCGCTTCCTCTGGCTGGCTTCTTGCTGAATTGGACAGAAGCGATGACGGACTCTTCTTGTCCCCGGCGATTGCTGCGCGGATTCTTTCTTCTTTGCGATTGAACAAGCCTACCGAACCTGTGAGCGCCTTAGCACCTTTCATGTTCGACTCACCCTGCTTCATGACATGGCTCCAGAAACCAGTTTGTACAATGAGACCTACCGAGTCTTGCCACTACATTGCAATGGGCTGCTGACAAACACCTTATTCTGGAAATTTCTCCTTGTCCTTTTGAATCAAAGCTGCTATCATATCTGCTGCTTGGGTAGTTGCCACCGGTAGTGTTTCACGTGAATTCAGCAGTGCAAATAAACCTGCCTGTGCCTCGCCCCACAGTTAGGCCCAGGCAGACTTGATCTGAAGGCGATGCAGAGAGACAGAGAGAGAGAAAGAGAGAGAGAGAGAGAGAAAGAGATGTGGAAATTAGAATCTAAAATTGTTTGAGCCCACCTGAACTTCTCTGAAACCTTCTAAGTGTAAATTTAATTTGAACTATATTTGAAAGTTGGCAATAACAAGGGCGCTAGTTCAAATCAACTGAGAAGTTCACTTCCTGAAAAGGAAGCTGCTGGAAATGGTGAGCCTGAAAAGGCATGAGCTGATAATTTCAGATCCTGAAAAGGATATGCCTGAAAAAGGCATGAAGTCAAAAATTCGCTTCCCGATGATATTTATCTAAAAAGATAACAAGTGAAAAAATGATCCACAACGCAAAAAACAAAATTGTAGGAAGTAAGAAACGGCAGATTAGGCGTATCATATTTCTTTTTAAAGGTGTGGATGTGGATGAATTATTATGTTTCATATGTTTTCCAGATGTTTGTCTTGTCAGGGGCGCAAAAAAACAAACGTCTCTGAACTATATGTATGTAAGCTATATCTGAACCATGTTCGATCTATATCTGAAATTTATTTGAACTATATTTGAAATAGAAATATATATCAACTATATATCTGAACTATATGTATGAACTCTATGTCTGAACTCTCTAGTTCAGATATCTGCACGGTATCGGAACTATATCTGAGCTCATCTGAACTTATCCAGGTTTATTTCTCCAACTTACTTGAACTTTTTCAAGTTAGGTTTCAGCTGAACTTTTCTGAATTTACCTGACCTTTTCCAGGTGCAAATCTGAGTCCAAATCTCGTCTGATTTTTTCTAAACTTGTCTGAAATCTTCCAGGCCTAGATTCAGAGTCAAATTTAAAACTTCCAGATGTTTTTTCTGAATTTGCCTGAGCCAGGTTTAGATTTGAATTCAAATTTGAGTTTCAGTTAACTTTTCTACGCTTTACGGTAGTGGTCCACTTAGTTTCGGATTTGCTCTTTCGTTTAAGCCTGCCTTTTTGATTTGCAAGAATGTTCAGAAGTATTTCGATTTGAATTCAGATTTGCGCCTGGAAAAGCTCAGATAAATTCAGAAAAAACAATGATTCCGAATTAAAGGACCGGATAACCCCACAAGTCAACTTCTTCCAATAATGAGTTTCAAAGGTTGTAGCGGGGTCGGAGAAGGAAGGAAAGACAAAGGAGGTGGTGAAAGATCGAGAAGGTAAAACGGTAGGTATGTATGTATGTATGTATGTATGTATGGATGCATGCATGCATGCATGCATGTATGTATGTATGTATGTATGTATGTATGTATGTATGTATGTATGTATGTATGTATGTTGTATGTATGTATGTATGTATGTATGCATGCATGACAAATGCAACTGCAGTGCGCCGACTTTTTCTCGTTGCGAGCAGGCCAATGTTAATCCCGTTCAAGCATAGACACCTGGTCACATTCTCGCAATGTCAATTCTTGCAATGTTCATCCGCCAAACCATTGCGCCAAACCAATGTCAAAGCATGTCAGCTCCAGCTGTCACGGAACAAATCTAGGAGAGTTTGTGGACGATTCCAACTGGTGAAGTATGAAGACAGCCGCAGCCTGCCCTAAGGTCACAGGCCCGATTACGATGCAAGGGCGAAAAAGTACCTGGCCGCAAAGGGACAGAACGCGTATATGCAGCTAGCTATCAAAAGTACCAGGCGCCC